CTTCCTTCCTTCCTTCCTTCCTTCCTTCCTTCCTTCCTTCCTTCCTTCCTTCCTTCCTTGTAAAGTTCTATATTGAACTATATTACAACACTTCCTTCCTTCCTTCCTTCCTTCCTTCCTTCCTTCTCTCCCTCCCTGTCTCTTTCCCTTCCTTTTCTCCTTCTATCCTTCCTTTGTTTCTTCTTTCCTCTCTTCTTTTGTCTATTTTCCTTCCGTCCTTCTTCTTAATCCCATGCCCTTCCTTTTTCCCTCCCTCCCTTCTCTGTCCTTTTCCCTCCCTTCATTCCTTTTTGCTTCTTCCTTTCCCACTCTTCCTTCGTTCCTCCCTCCCTCCCTTCTTTTTTTCTATCTTCCTCTCTTCATCCCTTCTTTGGTCTATTTTCTTCCCTCCCTACTTCTGCCCTCCCTTCCTCCTCTGTCTCTTTCTTTCCTTTCCTTTCCTTCCTTCCCTTCTGTCTCCTTCCCTCCTCATCTCTTTTCTTCCTTTCCTCTCTCCCTCTTTTCTCTGTCCTTTTCCCTCCTTCCCTTCCTTTTTTCCTTCCCTTCCTTCTCTTCCTTCCATCGTTCCTTTGTTCCTTCTTTTGTCTATTTTCCTTCCCTCTTTCCTCCCTCCCTCCCTTCTCTGTCCCTTTCCCTCCCTCCATTCCCTTCTGGGAGCTGAAATCCACCTTTCTTCGTCACCAAGATTAAGAAATCCTGTTTCATAGAAAGAGAATTTGCCTCCAGAAACGTATCTCCAGATTCTCCCCCCGCCCCTTCCCCATGGCCTCCCCCCTACCCTCCCATTATATGCCACCCACCCACCTCTGCCCCTTTCCCCCCAGCATGGAAGCTCCCGAGTCCCCCGCGGAGCCCGAGAGGTACGAGGACATCCAGGCTGTAGATGTGGAGAAGGAATACGAAACACACTTTGAAAAAGGTACCTGGAAGCGGATTCGAATCCTGAACCGGCTGATATGGTGGGGGGTGAGTGAGGGGGGCATGGGTTGGTGGGGTGGAAACCCTGAGATCTTTCCTTCCAATTCTGTCCTGGTGATCTGCCAATTGTTGGAAATATTTGAGGTTGGTAATTCCTTCCTTCCTTCCTTCCTTCCTTCCTTCCTTCCTTCCTTCCTTCATCCCTTCCTTCCTTCCTATCTTTTTCTTTTCTTCCTCTCTACTTCCTTCCTATCTATTTTCTTTCTTTCCTTTGTCTCTCTTTCCTTTCTTCCTTCTATCCTTCCTTTTTTCTTTCTTTTCTTTCTCTTTCCTTCGTTCCTTTCTCCAACCTTCCTTTCCTTTCTCTCCTTCCCTCCCTCCCTCCTCCCTTCCTTCCTAACTTCTTTCCTTCTTTCTTTCTCTCCTTCCTTCCTTCCTTCTTTCTTTCTTTCTTTCTTTCCTTCCTTTCTCTCTTTCCTTCCTTTCCTTTTCCTCTCCTTCCTTCCTTCCTTCCTTCCTTCTTTCTCTTTCTTTCCTTTCTCTCTCTTTCCTTCCTTCCATCCTTCCTTTTTCTTTCTTTTCTTTCTCTTTCCTTCCTTTCCCCTCCCTTCTTTTCCTTTCTCTCCTTCCCTCCCTCCCTCCTCCCTTCCTTCCTAACTTCTTTCCTTCTTTCTTTCTCTCCTTCCTTCCTTCTTTCTTTCTTTCTTTCTTTCCTTTCTCTCTTTCCTTCCTTTCCTTTTCCTCTCCTTCCTTCCTTCCTTCCTTCTTTCTCTTTCTTTCCTTTCTCTCTCTTTCCTTCCTTCCATCCTTCCTTTTTCTTTCTTTTCTTTCTCTTTCCTTCCTTTCCCCTCCCTTCTTTTCCTTTCTCTCCTTCCCTCCCTCCCTCCTTCCTTCCTATCTTCTTTCCTATTTTCTTTCTCTCTCTCTCCTTCCTTCTTTCCTTTCTCTTTCCTTCCTTTCCTTTCCTTTTCCTCTCCTTCCTTCCTTCCTTCCTTCTTTCTCTTTCTTTCCTTTCTCTCTCTTTC